ATGCTCCTGGGGGTCACCCCCTTTAGGGAAGGGCAGGATCACTCCCAGCATACCCACGAGCTGGGAACCTTGCCTAGAGGGATCCCGTTGCTTATTCGGTACATATGCACCCCACACCCCCCCTTTCCAGTACCTGCGCTTAGTGGCCTCGTTTCTTCTCAAAGCTTTTTATATTTCGCATTCCTAAGATTTAATTATGTTATCAGAACAACAGGCATCAGGATTTGGAGTGCCAGAATTCACATTAGCAATTGCTATCAACAAAGAAAATGGGCACAGCATGCCCATGCCAGAGTAGATGTGGGCTGCTCTCCTCAATCTACTCATGGTTATTTATAGCCTGTTTGCAAGCCATCCACCTCCCAGGTTTAGCTTCGAGCTCGCTTCCTTCTGAGCACCCTCTCCCTCAAAGAAAAGCCTTTTGCCTCCCCCGTCCTTAGCACAGCACCCAGACTTGGACATATATAGTTAATTTTGTTGGGCAGGGAGGATAAACCACCTTTGAATCTTCTTCCACACACCCACAACAGCAGAAAAGAGTGAAAACAGAGTGTGCCACAAATAAGCAGCTGCAGGGGCACCAACCCCCCAATGGCAGAAAACAAAAAAATAAAAAAATATATATATTTATAGTTTCTAACACTACATCAGAGCAGGACCGCTGCGCATCTCCGGCAGCTTTCTGCCCCCCCCCGCAGACGGGGATGGAGGCACAAGCTCCGTGAGGCAGGATTCATGCTTGAATGCAAGAAATACCTATTTTGACCTGATTGCAAAGAAGCAACTACGTGATAGCAATAGGGGAGAGATAGCTGTGCCTCCACACCAGCATTAACTGCAATTTACCCATCCCTCAACCAGCACCATTTTGAGGCACTCTGATTCTGCCAGGATCCTTCGCCTCCAAATAATTAAGAAATACAAGATGCAGCGTGTGCAGTACAGGTGCAAACCTACCCACCAGCTTATTTTCCTCTCCTGAGCAGCAGCTAGCACGGGCAGCTCCTGTCTTCTTCCTCCTAATCGCAGCTCCTGCTAAAAAGTCAACCCAAGTTTTAAGGCAGACGTTAGCAGGAGTTAGGCCAGACCTCAGCTCTCCCAAGCCTGGGAGAGATTCGGTCCTTAAGAGAAGCCCTTCATGAAAGTTAGCTGACGTGGCTCCGGCCAGCCCGATGGCGTTGGGATGCCGACGGGCACAAGTGCCCTTTGCCGTGCTGTCCTCGCACGTCGCATCACTTCTGCATTCAGGGGTCATCGCCTGGTCCCCAGCACCCGTCTGCGGCTGCAAAGCAGTATCGCTCGGGGCAGGGCTGGTCCAAAGCTCAAGGCATCGCAGGGAGAGTTGAGCTCATTCAAACCTCCCTGATACTCCGGTTAAAATGCAGAAGTGGGGCTGGGTTTAATCCTGCCCAGTGACTAAGGAAACGCTCAGTCAGACTCTGACTGAGACATGGCAGCTCCTCACATGCCTAAAATTCCATGTGGCTCTGAAATAGAAATAAATATTACAGTATATAATGATAATTTAAAAAAAAAAAAGCACAACCACCTGTAAAATGGTAATAAAATAAAAATTAAATAATTATTAATAAGTATTAATAAACCCAAACACCAGACCCCTTCTGCTAAAGGGGGGGAGGAGGAGGGAGGCTCAAGCTTACAACTCTAGCACGTTTTATTTTGTGTAAATTTATAAAGACAACAATCCTAGTCACGATTGTCACATTGTACAGCACATACCAATACAGTTGCAAACAGAACTCCACGCAAAACTAAGCGCTAACAGTAGCTTGAATCACTCTTCCTGCGATTGTCGTATCTAGACTAACAGTTATTACACTAACACTGAAGAAAAAATAGTTCACTATAAAACAGTGATAGAACGTTTTTATAAAATATATTCCATTCCAATAGCTTTTCTACATACTGTATACTATAAAACTCTCCCACAAAAATTAGTGTCTTTAAATATACATATTTAATCTGAACTGCACCAAGATTAAAAACAATTAAAAATATCGATGATTTTTTTTTTCTTTTTACATTAACTTCACAGTATTTGTTTGTAGTAGAAGACAAATCCAGTGTTTAAAATGCAGAGCAGGGCTGTCCCCTACAGAGACAGTAACTGCCCCACAGTGAAATAGTTTATGAAGAGACGAGCGTAAGTGTGCAATGTTTTTAGTACTTCTCTGTAGAGTCATGAACCATTTTGAAAACATGCTCCGAGCTATTGCAACTTAAAAGTAAGAGAGACACACAGAGAGATAGCCAAAAAAAGTCACCTTAAGAACAAAAATAAGTGCAAACATTTTTTTTTTTTTTACTTTAGAAATTCAAGCTATGAGGAGTGGGAACACAAATACCAGACTATGAGAACAGCGTGTTCATGATGTAGTCAAGAATGAGAAAGTCTTTTTTTTTCTTTTTTTTTCTTTTTTAAAAAAACCTTTTGCCCCATATTCACTGCAGTACAGAGCATGCTCATAGAATCAGTTTAATGAATTACTTCTATACTAAGATCAGACACAAACTTGTTTCAACTTTTCCCTGCTCCATACGCTAATGATGTTCTTATGGCACATCCTATTTTATGATCTTCTAAAAAAACAAACAAAAAAACAGAAAAAGAACCCCCCAAAAAAACAGTAACTGAAGACTGAAATGCAAAAAAAGTGTCACAAGAATGCAAAATTAAGATTACCAACTTCAGTAATGCTGACTCTACAATAAACTCTTTACATGTAGTTCAACATGCAAAATCCATTGTTATTAAATTTAAAGTGAAGTGTAAATTAACTAGTTTTGAAATAGATTAACAGTAATAATTCCACTCCAAAAAAAAAAAATCTAATAAATACTATATCAAGTATCTTCAGGAGAAAAAAAATAACTTAATTTTAGTAGAAAGAAAAATAACTTAATTTTAGTAGATTTTGTTCAGTGCTATTTCCAATCACAGCAAAAAGGAAAAAAAAAAAAAAAGAAAAAATTGATTAAGTAGGATAAGACCACAGTACCAAAGCCACTTATGTTCAAGATACAGTACTCTCCCACAACTTTCATATGTAACAGGTTCAGCAAAAATATTTTACAGTCGAGAAATTAGACTGAAAACAACAAAACCCAAAACTATAAATAGAAGCAAAATTTCACATTACATGTACATTCATAGTTTAAGAGATGAATAATAAGAGGAGGCTGTAACAAGTATATCCTGATTTTCTTTAAAAGAAGAAGTACTCATTTAAAAAAAAATAAAAAATGATGAATCCCATATTATTTATGTAGGTAGTGCTCAGTTTTTGGACCAGAAGGGGAAGGCATTGGAAGATTTTTTTTTCTTCGTAAGATGAAATACAGTATTTTAAGCACAGCTTTTTAAAATAATCTAACTCAGTGCTTCAAATTCATTTAAAAATAAACACTTAGGTTTCACAAAACAACTCCAGGAGTGTCAAGAAAGCTGGTGAAGCAACGCTAATGCAGCAGAATGACATTCAAAACCCTCAGATATTATTATTATTATTATATTTCAGTCCCGTGTACGTGTACCTTGAACGGGTAATTTGACTGGAAGGGAATAATCTGATATTTACTGTCATGCACAGCCCAAAGGATGCTCTATTAGGCAAGTAATTGAGTTATTTGGAGTAAAAACTGGTTATAGTTACAGGCAGCCTCAGTTTACAAACAAACTAAAAAAAAACCCAACCCCACCTAAAAATACCCCCCAAACTCCCCCCAAAAGGTGGGACACGGGGGAGAAGGGTGGGCCATGCTTTCCCTCCAGCGGTTTATCTTCAAACTGCCCCTTCAAAATACCGGCAATTGCACAGAATTTGGCCCAGAGGGAATTACCAACTTCGTAAAAAATAAAATAAAATTCTGAGCTACTGATTTTAACGTAGCAGCAAACTTTTCGGACAAGATAGCAGGGCACCTCCTGACACACATGGTATGAGTTACCTTGAACTAAGACACCCCAGGAGCTGGGTATCAAGACGGGTTATTTAGCTGCTTTGGGGCTGCTGACCCCACCAAAGGGGACAGGATCAGCCCTTGGGTGTCAACATGGGAATGAAAATATTCACGTATCATACGATTTTTCATATGTCCTAGTGTGCATCCTTCAGTATTTTGGGAGTGAATATGCTGCAGACAGAAAGAGTTTTTCTGTCCACGTTTTATGCTCAAAAGCAGCTTTTCAGTAGGTCAGTCCACAGAGGAGGATGGGGGGAAGGGAAAATTTAAGTCAAGTCCCGAGGCAAAAACTTCTCATTCAGATTTTAGGACCGACTGCAGAACTACTCTAATATAATAATCAGAATTAAAAAAAAAATAAAAAATACTAGTACCAAAGATGCAGCCAGGAATCCTCAACCCCCTTTATAATTGGGGCCAATTTAAGGTCTTGTCTAGCTCTACAAAATAAGAGTATGGCCGTTTACTCTGCGATATGCAGACAAGTTTCTCTACACTGAAATGTATTCAAATCACAGTTCATCTCTTTGGATGTTTCTATGCAATATGCAGAGAGCATTAGGGGAGCTTAAAGGAATCCAAATTTTTCTCCAGAATTTACTGATAATTTTGAAACTAAAAAAAAACAAACCTCAGAAAACCCAAAAGCACCCTTGACCACAAAGCAAGTACTCCAGCATGAAAACAGATGCTAAATCACTGCAGAATTACTTAGATCATTTCACATTAATAATGTAACATGGGTGCGCAAGAGAAAACCTAAAGGACAGTGCTGGGAAGGGAGGGCGGCAGGGGAAGGGGGGAGATGGAGAGGTGGAAGGATTGCATTAAAAGGCCTCTGGAGTGTATACCTCTGCATCTTTTAAAGATCATATACCTGAAGTGAATATCACCAAAATAAAATAAAGGGGGGGAGGGGTGGGAATTAAAATTCAGATGCTGCCTTTTTTCCTATTTTGTTTTAAAGGGCAGGGGGTGGAAATTAAAAAAAAAATTAAAAAAAAAAATCACGCCTCTCAAACAACCAAGGACTTTACAAGGCCACAATGAAATTTGCGGATATGTCTGTACAAATCCCCAGACTGCGTGAACCGTCTCTCGCACCACTTGCACCCGTGGGGTTTCTCCCTGGTGTGCACGACCGCGTGGCGGCTGAGGTTGTGGGAATACTGGAAGCTCTTTCCGCACTGGCCGCAGGTGTAGGGCTTCTCCCCCGAGTGAGTCCTCTCGTGCCTCTTTAACGTGTACATGCAAGAAAAAGTCTTTCCGCAGAGGGTACAAGTGGGGACCGACCCGTCGGGGGACAGGCGGGTCCGGGAGCCGTCCCTGTCGCGGAAGTGAGAGCTCAGGTGCAGCTGAAGGATGTGTGGGCTCGGGAACACCTTGCTACAGAGGGGGCAGATGCAGATATGCCCGGGAGGCACGAGGATGCCCGAGGAGGAGATGTCCGACGAATCCATGTCGTCCTCGCTCTCGTCTCGCTCTTGATCTATATCCTCCTCTCGGGCATGAGAGCTGCCATTCCCCGTGAACATGTGTCCTAACCCTGTCACTAAGCTTTTGGCTGAATTCCCAAAATGCTGACTCTCCGGACTCCTGGCTTCGCCGTCCTCCTGATCTGACAGCAAGTCTTGTTCATCTTTAACAAGTGGCTCGGTACCCTGCTGCTGGCTGTCGGAAGCCAGCTGTCCAAAGACATAGGAGGGGTGTAAGGAATCTCTCCCCGGCACGGGCTTGAAAGACAAATCCAGCGCGCAGTCCACATCACTCGAAGCCAGGGGATGGTTAACAGACCTTTGGGACAAAGGTCCTGTGGAACTATTGACATTAGCCTTTGTTTTTCCAGCTGCTGCGGCGCATGGTTCTGCCTCTGTCGGCACAGAGCTGACACTTATATGATCAGAGGACCAGGCGGGGTGACTGCTGACCTTTTCTTTGCCTGCTGCTCTCTCGTATTCTGCAACGCTGAATTTTTGTTTGTTTCCTGGGTCAAACTCGTGGACCAGGGGCACTCCGGCATCTAGAAAATGCTCCGCTTTCTCCAAACTAGCCGCCTCATCATTAATCTTCTCTTCTGAACATAATTCTTTATCTTTCAACTTGCCCTTGCAGACTTTCACAATGTCATACATGTGAAGGTAGCTAGCCGCAGCCAGCACATCTTCGACCGGGAGACTGTTGAATTCCAGCTTTCCCTCGTACATGAATTCGAGCAGCAGGCTGAAGGCAGGGGCTGTGACAATGTCACTGTTCAGATGCACAATATCCCTTTTGTCTAACTGGTCCCTGTAGAAAAGATGGAAGTACATACTGCAAGAGGCAAGAACGGCTCTGTGAGCTCTGAATTGAGCTTCTCCAACTAAAACAGTACAGTCACACAGGAAGCCCTGGTGACGCTGCTGACTCAGACACTGCAGCAACTGGCGGCTATGGTCTGGAAACTCCATTCTTCCTTCATAACCTGTTCAAAACAGGAAAAACTTGAATGCTACTGTAAACTAAAGCCTCCTAGCAGCTGTAACAAACAGATCGGCTTTTTGGTAACACAAGCCAAAGAAACAGCCTTGGAGATAACGTTTACTGTTAATTGTCTGTAATAGTTTTATTGGAGGGGGGGTAAAAAACAACACAACATACTTCTCATCCTTTCGCACCTGCTCTGAACAGGAAAAACTTGATTGTAAGTAAACAAAAGCTAGTAAAGCAGCAGCCCCTCCAACCTTTGTTTCTCCCACGAAGCACTTTAATAAAATTAAGAGGAGGAAAACACACATACACCTCCCCCTCCCAAACAAAACAAAACAAACAAACAAAAAAAAGCATAAACTCCCAGGCTGTCTTCCCAGTAACGCTAACTCGGGGCATCTTTTAATAAAGCATATCACCCATGTCACGCACACACACACACGCACATTTAAACTTTATCCTCAGTCGTTATGCACCGAATCACAACAAAACAGTCGCGGCTGGCGCTGGGGAAGCGGCGTTTTTGCAGGGACGGAGCAGGGTGGGAAGGACGGGCGGGGAGAAGCGCCCCCGGCCCCGGCACCCGCATGCGGAAGGAGTCGCGGGGGGCGGGGGGGGGAAGGAATAAAGGAAAAAAAGTTTTACTCGAAGTTATTAAAAGCCAAGAAGGAAA